ATATTTTTTCCATCAGGAATGCGTCTTCCCTTGTTTTTTTTGTTCTTTTTTTTTGTGCCGCTTAAATTGGAGGAACCTTGCATTTATAATTTGTTCTGCTTCCTTGGGCTCAAAGTGAACGTTACCGAGAAGACTCGAAGGTTTCACGATCATGAAATTGCGGGTATTCGTGCATTTATATTTCCCTGCAGCATTTTTCATTGCTTTTCCCCGATTTACTCTCCCGAATATTAAATTGACGGAAATTTCCGGATTCTAGTTTTTTACATGGAACCTGCAGTTTGCGTTACGAAACGCGTCCAGAGAAGTTTAAAAATAATCATCCATGACCTTCGTAGCTTCGCAATCCAAGAAGTTTACAAGGTCACCCCAAGCAGGTAATTTCTGGAGTCATTCAATTAAACAGTGTATATACTTGCGTTTTCCATTCTTCCTCTCCCTCCCATTGTACATTGAATTCAACCTTGAAGTACAAACAAGAATTTTTATTTTTAACGCGTTTAAAAATATATATGGTGCTGCCATAATATGTGACTATAACGAAGCAAGTGTTACCAACCTTTAAATTTAATAACGTTCAATCATGCTTACCAATATGGCAGAAATTGTAAGCCATTTCATATGCACAGTAACTGTTCTAATTGTTTTGATTGTCCTGATTCTTCTAATTGTTCTAATTGTCATAGTTATTCTAATTTTTCTACTTGTTCTACTTAATTTTTCTAGTTTTGACAGTTGTTATATAGTTTTTATAATTGTTCTACTTGTTCTAAATATTTTGTTTTTCTACTTCTTCTAGTTGTTCTACTTGTTCTAGTCTTGACAGTTGTTTTAGTTTTGACTGCTGTTCTAGTGGGTCGAAATTCAGTTGGTACCCAACTGTGCGTTATCTTATTTGAACCCCTTTCACTGAAGTTGCAAAAATAAGAGGTGATGTGAAACCTAGTGATTNAATCGACAAACCAACACGGGTCGAAGAATTTGCTAATTAGTTCGTTGCCCAGGTGAAGGTGCAATAAGCTGCTATTAAAGGCGAATCATATTTTTTTGGAGAAAACTCGGGTTCCATATCCGTTCTTCAATGTTGGAAGCAATATATTGTTGCTCCGGTTTAAAATGTTGGCATTGATTACTTTGAATTTCTGGTGCGCACAGTTTCGAAATTCAGTTGGAGCACATCGGCGGAAAATTTTGAGAGAAATGCAGAATTTCTAATCGAAGAAAAAAAAAACAGATTATTGTAACTATCTATTGGGCAATCAAATTGATTTGGGCATTGCAACCTCTGTTCAAAAATTTGAATAAGAAAAGGATTCAGTTCTTGGATATATTTTTTTCTCATCAGGAATGCGTCTTCCCTTGTTTTTTCTTCTTTTTTTTGTGCCGCTTAAATTGGAGGAGCCTTGCATTTATAATTTGTTCTGCTTCCTTGGGCTCAAAGTGAACGTTACCGAGAAGACTCGAAGGTTTCACGATCATGAAATTGCGGGTATCGTGCATTTATATTTCCCTGCAGCATTTTTCATTGCTTTTCCCCGATTTACTCTCCCGAATATTAAATTGACGGAAATTTCCGGATTCTAGTTTTTTACATGAAACCTGCAGTTTGCGTTACGAAACGCGTCCAGAGAAGTTTAAAAATAATCATCCATGACCTTCGTAGCTTCGCAATCCAAGAAGTTTACAAGGTCACCCCAAGCAGGTAATTTCTGGAGTCATTTAATTAAACAGTGTATATACTTGCTTTTTCCATTCTTCCTCTCCCTCCCATTGTACATTGAATTCAACCTTGAAGTACAAACAAGGATTTTATTTTTAACGCGTTTAAAAAAATATATATGGTGCTGCCATAATATGTGACTATAACGAAGCGAGTGTTACCAACCTTTGAATTTAATAATGTTAAATCATGCTTACCAATATTGCAGAAAATGCAAGCCATTTCATATGCACAGTAACTGTTCTAATTGTTTTGATTGTCCTGATTCTTCTAATTGTTCTAATTGTCATAGTTATTTTAATTTTTTTTACTAGTTCTACTTAATTTTTCTAGTTTTGACAGTTGTTATATAGTTTTTATAATTGTTCTACTTGTTCTAAATATTTTGTTGTTCTAGTTGTTCTACTTGTTCTAGTCTTGACAGTTGTTTTAGTTTTGACTGCTGTTCTAGTGGGTCGAAATTCAGTTGGTACCCAACTGTGCGTTATCTTATTTGAACCCCTTTCACTGAAGTTGCAAAAATAAGAGGTGATGTGAAACCTAGTGATTTTTGCATCAACGTTTTATTCACTCGTCACTATAAAAGATGCTCACTATAAAAGATGCAATGCAGTCTTGTGTGTTGCATACATTAACAGCACCAAAAAATAATCTTTTTCAGTCAGTCTCAAGATCGGATTTCTACCAAAGCCAGGAGGTGCGACGTGAGTCATGGTATTCGGATTTCCTCAAGCAGCTTCATAGCGTGCTGAAGCGTGATTTACTCAAACAATACATATATATACCACGAAAAGCTGGTGAAATGCACAAAAATAATTGTGGACAGGTCTTCACACTTCCTAGTTTCACCTTTTTTGCGTGCGGAGATCGGAAGGCAAATAATTAAAAAAATAAGGATATTATGATAGGGACTTGTCTGGAATAATATGGATAAGATTAAGATTTCCTTTTGAGTGACGAGTCAAGGGCGTCACGCGGTCTGAATTCGAATAGTTTCTTTGTGTCTGAAAATAGATATTCACCTTCTATTTAGACCCAGCTTGCATTGGACCGTAGTCGAGAAGCATCCTGAAAGAAAATCTTTTTTTGTCATTTGAGTTGCTGATTTAATATGAGTTTTGATTTAAGTTCCTTATTGCTCATTATTCAATTGGATACTAAATTCGTTCAGCGGTCATTTTTTTTCAATTTTCTCTCCACACTCCTGAATCTGTGAATTCTTTAGCAAGCAGATACATGCAGCATCTTTTTGTCGGGCAAAAATCGAGACTTTTAGCCACTGTAGCTCGATTTTTGAATGATCAAAAATGTTGCCAATAAATGCATCTTCTCTGCACTCAACTGTGGTGGCTAAAAATCTTAATTAGGAGAATGCATGTATGATACGTTTTTAAAATTGGTGAACATTTTCGAGAATTTTTTTATTTTAGACTTGGATTTGAAAGACATCCAAGAACTTTTGAAAGACGGCAAGGAGTTTAATACTGTCTTAATTGAGATAAAGATCCACATCGTAAATATCAGCGCTTATATGGAAATACAAATTGGCTGCATTATATGCAAATCACCATGTTTCTTTTATTTCTAGCACAAAATAACGAATAATTCATTCACTGTTTTCAAGGACATATTTCGATCTGGTCTGTTAATTGGTTTGTATAATTGATTGTCAAGCAGTATAGAGGCCTAATATGAACCTGCAAGGAAATATTTGCTGAGTTTTTTATCGTCTGATTTCAACTTTTCTTGACACTCTAAAAAATCCAAAAGGAAGAAATCGCAAAATTTATGATTAATTTCATAAAATCAGGACAACATGGTTTTCTAGCTTTCAAAAAAATACCAAAATAATAATGGTCTCTTTCCGGGTCAATCCAAATTCATTGACTATACTGTATTCTTTTTAGCCAACAGAGAGGAAAGAATCATTTTCTTGAGAAAATCGAATTTTTTCCTTATACCCTCTTCATTGTCTAGAGTCTAGACTCTAGTCTAAAGGGTAACAAAAAACCAGCCGTTTTTAAAACGCATTTAGTATGAGATCTTGTTAAAATGCTCACACTTTATCCCGATCCTCTCATTATATGAGCGTTCAGACATATTGGTTGCTTATTTGTCAATGTCAGGATTTTTTCCTACATCCAATATCAATTCACATTTCTTCAAATCCAATTTCAAAAGTACAGATTCATGAATCCAGCCCAATATTTTTATTAATGTTTTTCTGGGTCTTGTCGCACGCATTTTATACTGTGTATGTGTGCTTGAATTATGCGTCAATTTAAAAGGTGCATGACACACTTCAAAGAGAGTCTTTTAATTTATAATAGTTTTCATTCAAGTGCAATGTAGGAAATCCGATTCAGGTAAAAGTGTGTGTTTTCTCTAAGCCAGAGATAACATGTCCCGTGACTTAGTCTGCATTCTCTTGAATTTTTCTATAGCTTCTTAAAAATATGTAAATTTTTCCACCATTTAAAGGGGGCTTTAATTTTATTGCGTAGTAAAATCGGGATTTTGATGAAAACGCTTGCCATGAACCGAGCATTTCTTGCTTCCAGAGAAACACATTTCATCATTCAGAACATTTTTCGGGTCAATCTCCTCCTTTATATTGCTCGAGCGATAGTCATTATCCCCAATAAGGGATTTCTCAAGTGCATTTTGCATGCTTGGGGAAAACGTCTTATTTTTTTATGCAATATGGCGGAATTTATTCGAATAAGAGTAATCACCTTGACTGCCTGTAGAACGCCTCTGAATTCACGAAGAAATCGAGCGAATATTCCGTTAAGATGGTGACAGAGAACTTTTTTGCTCTTGGTTGCTGACATTTCCGAGATGATCAAGATGGACTGACCTTGCGAAAAGCAATCACACCAGTCACGCGCCGTTGAATAACGTTTTTCAAACAATTTCTTCGCTTTTTTTCATCATTACAAATTCTCAATAATCTTTCTTTTTTTTGTGCAAAAAATTAAAGCTCCGACGCTGCTCCACACCCACGGATGAGATCATTTGGGATCCGTTACACCATTCATATGTAGGTACGTTATCTCCCAAAGCTGAGGACATTATGGAAAATGAATTTCGATTTCCATAACATTGCCAATGTTTTATTTTTAAAGAAATGTTATTATCTGTAATTCCATTCATGAGAAAAATATCGCTGTGATAACGAGCTTTTTGTGAACCTTTTTCCTCCGTTGCTTCAAAATACGTCCCGGTTTTCGCGTGAAAACAAAATTAATAAAAAAAACCAGAGTAACTCCAACAGCAATTTTTTTTTCAATTTCTTCAAAGTCCGTAAACAATTTAATGAAACATTCACATAATGACTGCAACACGCTCAGCAGCTGAAAATTCACTCCGTAGGTTTTCTTCAACTATCTATATAGCAAGAGGCTCATAAAACAAAAGAAACAATTTTCATTCCTTCTCTATCAAGGGGATGACGGGAAAAAGACAAATTTCGAAGAAAACACAGTAAGTTACTTGCCGCAAAATGGCGATAACAATGTTTGCTAAATTTCGTGTCAAAATGTTTCCCTTTTCGTGTCGAGGAAATTCAGTTGACGGCGAGTTAGGATGCATATCACATGAATTCTTTGGATGAGGGAAAAGAAAGAGAAAAAAAGGGTAATTCGTCATTATTATACGTAGGATATTAGTAGAAAGCCTGAGAATGTACGATATGTGTACTTAGTATCAATCCTCGACGATATAGGTGACGAATTTCGAAATTTTTGCAAAGCGGAATTATTCTTCTTTTTTTTTTGGCAGTTTGATCACATGAGGACACACATGGAGGCAGTTCCGTGGCATCCGTACTTGGAAAGCAATGGATGAGCAGCGATGTTCGAGGCAGGAAAAATTGACACACGAGCTCCATGTTTGCTTTGCTGTGACAGTGTTGACATTCCGACGATTCCTGCTCGAATATATATATAGGAAGCATACATTTCAATTCAATTAATCATATGCTCGAAGTTGCGGGGTCTCAATTATTGGACTGCTATTTATTCCAGTGACAATTGTCCATTTATTGTCCGATAAAACCAATAACCGATTATTGGGAAGGTTGCTGAAGATAATTAGATTGTTTTCAGATTCACCGGAGGCCTCATAGTTAAGTAATTTGAAGCTAAAAGGAATAGGAAATCTCTCCAATTTTTTCATTAGAAATCCTCTTGGAACGTTTTTTTTTTCTTCAAGTATTAATTTACGAAATGAAATTACGCTCAAAATTCATCAAAAGCACAAAAACAGAAAGAACTCAAAATGATCGATAATTTATAAAATAACGGATATTAACTTTTTGGAGGGCGATAATTTAGCTATGCTGTTTATTTTCGGAAGCAGGCTGAACAAATCCGAAGCAAAAATTGGCGGCAGGTCAAATCCGTTGTACGAAAAATCCATTATCCGTGGCACCAATGTACAATCTTCGAGTATTTCGAGTCTTTCAGAATACAGTTATGACAATTCGAAGAGGTTCAAAATAAGTAAAGTGCAGTACGTATAAAAAAACGCACAGTTGGATAAACTGAAAATGTCACGCAATTTTATTGCTATAGGAATGTAATACGCAAGATTGATAAGTTTTTCGTGCCAAATTACAAGTATAAAGAGATGAAGAAAGAAACTTGGAAAATTTCGAAGAAGCTGTTTACAGTACTTGAAAATTTAAAAATTCACTGAAAGCGAAAACGTTTGAAACTGTCGATCCTTATTTATAGCATCATCTGCTCAAGTTAAATTTTTGAGAGTAGGATACCCTTTGTCGCGTAGATACGCTGAAAGGAATTGACACCTTTCTCACTTATTGATGATTGCTACACATAAAATGAATCAAGAAAGAAAGTGTTTAATAACGTACCTGTTTGTTGGTTCAAACGTTGCGTGAGCGACACGTTTGAACCGAAGAGCCGTTTATCAAGGACGTGGAATGGATTCGTGTGATGGTTAATTAGTATCCGTTTCTTGTCTGATCCTGTTAAAAACAGATCATACACAGTCAAAATGAGTACAGATACAGCAATTAGAACCTATTATTAGCTCGGAGACCGTTTTAAGCTCTTCCAAATATCGAAAAACATTTTTTTGGCGTTACGTAGTATCCATAAACTATGGCCTCGCTCATTTACATGCGGTGCAATAAAAACCGTTTATTTCGTTACTAAAGATTATTATTATCGAAATAAATATGAAAAATTTTAATCCCCGGTACTCACCAAAGATAATTTTGTTGGATGGAATGGGCAGAGTTCCATTCCTCAACCGATACCATCTTGGCTGTTCATCCAAGATTCTTGAATCTGGGGAACCGTAAAAAAATAAAAATGAAATTTTTCATAAAAATTTTGAACTGAATCCAATACATACAAAGCTTCTATAACTTCTTATGCGTTCCGCAGTTTTTTATACGACATACTACTATATATCGCAAAAAAATCACAAAATCGCGAAACATGTAGTTTGAAATTTTGAATTTTTATTTCTCATTGGAGGCTTGCAGAAATAATTGCGAAATTTCAGTAGTCATGTTATAAGAGTGATATCAGTAAAAAACGTTATCGAGAAAAAAATGGGTGATATTTTATTTTATAAACGCATGAACCGCCATTCCGTAGATTCAATGTCATCTGGTATTTCTTTGTGAATAATGCTAATCCAAGAAGTGACTCAATTTAATCAAAAGCAATTCACTTCGTCCAATATACGGTATATTTTTGAAATTCACGTTTTTCAAAACAGCAGAGGGCTTATTGTGCAATTTAAAAAGTTAGCCGGAAAAAAAAAAAAAAACAGACAAACTTTGTCTTAAATTAATGATTGCACGCTCCATAAACACAATTCACTGCTTTCCAACCCCGAATAAACCCGTTGAGCACAACACAATGCCTTCTATACATAATAGCCCTTGAGTGGGTCATGGAACGGATTTCCACTGCCACTCAAATCGCCAATTAAGGCCGAGACGACGAAGTCACTAAGCAACAAGGTCAACGGATAAGCTGCGACTCGTGCTGGTCCCTTTAGTCAACAACAGTCCACAGCAGTCTTTATTCACTTCTCTCATTGTCAACAGATCATCATTAATTGTCTCGACCGAGAAATCCTTGGCTTAGTTCACAAAGAAACCGGTCTGCATTCTTTCATTATCCCAGATTTTGAAAGTTTGCTGCTTGGAATCTGACGTCTTTTTTATTTTTTATTTTTGAGAGAGAGAGATTGAAAGTATTTTTCAGCACAACGTGTTTTGTCTTCCCAAATGAAGATAAATGCGATATAAATTTTTTTTTTCACGCGAAACGGTGCGTCGTTTCAACATGAAGAAGAACAAAAGCTATTTTCAAACACTTCGAAACGTACCCCGTTATTTTCATAGTAAAAAGTTTTTTTTTATATTCAAATGCCGCATTGTTTGGCCAAGGATAAATAGATAGGCTGCTAATCAAGTGCAGCCCTTTTGGTATCGGTCCAATCTATCCAAGAGAAAGCTTTGAAACGCCATCTTTAGTATTTTATTTTTCAAAAAGGAATTCTGAATCTGAGATTTGGGCATCTTCAGTTTATGCTCTTTTTTTGCATATTTCTTTACATGTATGCTGATTGTAAAAGCGGATAAGTGGTTTCAACTTTAAAAAAAAAGGTCCACAGGGGCATGAATAAAGGGCTGCCTTCTATAATGATGGAGATTTCTTGTGAGGCTATACGCTTTGATTTCTCTAAATTTTCCATCCTAAGTTCTTTGCATCACGTATTATGAGTTTTTAAAATCGATGAGCGTTGTGAGTTTCCATTTTCATGCATTTAAAAACACCTACAATTAATTAAAAATTTAAACCGTGGGACGAAGTGAATTGTACCTTAAAACGGTTTGAAAAACTGCATGAAGTAGGAAAGATGCACGATCGAGGATATAATTTTCCTAGATGCACCTTGAACCCAATTCAATCTCGTACAGCATTTTACTATTTTTTTTTAATTTTCACGAATTGAAAACCAACACTTATTGGAATTAATAAGGGTAAATATTGAGTGATATTACTTCGTTGGAGGGTTCCGTCAATCCACCGCGCTAAATCAATTTCATACGCGTCGTTTAGGACAAGTTTGCAAATTTATGTTGCAAATTACAAACGTGTGTCACTGCATCGCAACTCTCTGAAACTCTCAGGATACAGTATTTACAGTATTTGCGAAAGTGTCGTTGCATAACGGGATGTCAGTTTCGAATACCAGATTTTATTTCGGGAAATAATGCTATTATTGTCTCGGACTTACCGCTGAGGTCAAGCAGGATTTCGCCCAAGTACTCATTAGCCCTGACTTTGTTGTGATGCCAAACGACGCATTCCAACCTTCGCATTCGCATGACCAGAATCGGTAGCTTTGGGTAAACCATTGTTTGCTTCCACTCCGGCGAACCCGTTCTCCTAATGAACTTTGTTTTCCTCGTGGTGTCTGACCTGAGTGTCCGCAGTCGAAACAGCAGAGAATCAGACGAATTAAAAAAAAAAACATACGGCTTTAATTCCAACAGAAATTTGAATGACCATGGATTTACTCACGTTTTGTCTGGCAGCAATCGACATTTGACAAAGGGATCCGGTCTCGTGTCGCCGTCGGCTCGAGGACACGTTAAGCCTTTGGCCCGTAAAACGATGACGTAGAGGATTTCTGCTTTGACGTCATAACAAATTTGCAGCTGTAATTTGCCGTAAAATTCCTCCTGCGAAACAGGTGGAATCCGTTTCATCCACACATTTAATTCATGTCCAAAAAAAATGACGGCATGGAAACAAAGGACATGAGATCCAGCAGGAGAAAAATGCTGTGCCAGCAAGGAAATTTGGTGACAACTACTCTATTTATTCCCTGCAATTAATTGTAAAAATGTTCAGATGCTTTGATGGTGGGATTATCGAATGAAAAGATGCCAAAACAATAATATTGATCGACAGGTAAAATCAGTCAAAGTTTTTCATTTCCTATAGTTTCACTTCGAAAGCAGTTCAGGAAGTTTCCAGATTTTGTTGTTGTGCTGGCCTTTTTTTCCTTTTCTTGATTTTTTTTTTTTTAAATTATATATTCTCAAAAATAACTTTAGCTTACACGATTCTCTCTGCATCTAAGGGTGCACTGCAACTTCTCTGTCCCAACAATTTTTCTATGCCGGCATTTTCACGACGCGATACAGTTTGTTTCGCCAGAATAATTTCTAAAAAGGGTTTCGGAATGGAAAAATCATTCTTCGGTTTAGAAATTCTTGAAAAAAAAAAACACATTTTTCGAATCTCTTTAAACGAAAGCATTCATGTAACAAACGTGGGTAACTTTTCAGGATACAGTATTCTCGGTTTTGTAACCGTTGGAAATGGAATCGAGCGACACCTGTTAAGCATGTTTTATTCTAGTCAGTATGATTGCTTCCTCTCATGATTACTAGAGCTCGCTTCTTCGAATAATAAGTCTAATAGCTGCTCACCAGCCAAAAAGAACTTGTAAAGTTTTCAAAAACAAAAGGCATTGGGCGAGAAAAAAAAGATCAGAAATGATTCGTGAAGTCGCACCTTAGTTTTCCAGACAACTTTCAGACAAGGCACTCGCCGATACCGACGTTTTGGGGAATGATTCGAACAACTGGATTTGGTGGAAGGGGTTCCGTGACTCCGTTGGGACGAACTTAGAGACGACGGAAGATCCGTTGTTGATCTTTGCTGACTATCGTCTACGCAGTAGCCGTCGTTGTTATCTTTCTGAAACAATAGAGCTTTCATGGGATCGTTGATGCTCGCCCCATCTGCAGGAGATGCCGAGAAACTCGCAGCAGCAGTTGCTGACGATGATGACCCCAATGAATTCGACGACGACGGTGTGCTAACTTGTTCCGAAAATTGATGCGAAGGGGGCGGAGGCATCCCATCATTACTGCGATGGTCTCTCAGTAGGGCACCATTCCTCAAACATCCATTCCCAATTCCCACTCCCCGCTTATTGTCTATAATTCCTTCTTTACTATTCCTCAAGAACAATCGTTCACTTCCTTTAACTCCTGAGTCACATGCGACGAATTGGCGCTGAACGAAATTAGACGCGGCTCTTTGTTGATGCGGTCCTACTGCCAGCAGGGATTCTCCACGCTGTTGTCCAGTGAAACTAAGATGTCCGCGCCCTCCGGCCTCTCGACGGTCACCTGCCGAACAATTGACGAAACCGACTCTCGGTTGTTGAGTGCCTTGCTGTTGGTGTTGGTGATCACGTCTGTCCTTTTGCTGCAAATGATTGGATTCACAGAGCGGGGAATCGTCATCATCGTCCAGTCGCAGCAGAGGCAGTAGAACAGAAGGAGGCGGACTTATTAATGGAACTCAAAGACGACCGAGAAGAAAATGAGGCACGTGCGACTTTTTCATTACCCTTCGTAAGATACATGAAAGTCTCAACTATTATAGGATAGGAGTTATGACTCTCAGGCGAAATACTGTATTTTTATAATGTATAGCCATTGTTCGAAATTTGCAGGGAATTTTATTTCAACGAGCGTCCATATATTAGCATAGGATTTGCATTCTGACTCTGATGTTTATTGTAAGACAAGATTTTCAGTTTTTTCTGCGTCTTTTGTCTTTATACGTCATTCACACTTCCGGATTCATAACGGTTTCAAACATATTCTCTCGGTCAGCGTTTCATCGTTCGAAGGACTAGCTAAACTAAATTTAAATTCTTCTGTAAAGCTACTTGCTCAAAAAGAGAAGTTTGTAAAAGAAGAGCTTAAGTTTTTTTTAAATCTGATGTTTGCCTTTGAAGCGATATAAGCTCATGTCATATAGGCTGCGGTCGTCGCTGCATTATTCATTCTTCCTCAGTCTCAATATCATGAACGGCATTGAAAAATCTGCCTGAAATATGTTGTACATCTGATGGATAAATGATATTTCCATCATTTTATGAGCCTCATTATTATTACAAATTTATATGCTTCCCTCATTTTCAGTATATCTACTCACCAACGCAAAACCAGTTCGAGTTCTGCGTCTGTTGGAGTGTCATTGACAATTCGTTGAACTTCTTCGTGCGTTTTTCCGGATAAGCCGACTCCATTCCATTCCAAAATTACGTCACCTAAAATTTGCACAAAGCGAATTTTACTTTTTTAAAATCTCCCTGTATGATTGCGCACAGGGAATTGGCGAGCGTTTCGACAATTTTACAAACATTTCGGAAGAGGGTTCTTCTTCTGATCGACACGTGACAAGCGGGACTTCAATTTTAGATGAAAAAAACTGTAATAAATTTTATACGAATGAATATCACATCGATACATAAAAGTATAGTTATTTTCTTCGCGCTGAAATCACATATATTCGATCTAAAAGAAAAATGTTCACGAGTTCACGGGGATCCACAACATTTAGTTGCGTATTCGGATTACGTATATACCGTGAATATAATCAAAACTTGGATCTGGATATATATTATGCAGAAGTTCTTCGATTCACAAGTTTAAAAAATATCGCATACCCTCGTGAACGTCCTCAATGACGTCGAATTGACCTCCTGGGTAAATTTTTGATATCACAGCTGCCATTCCTATCTCCGCTACACGCTTCCCACCTGTGACTCTAATGCCTAACCCTGAAATCGAAACGTAGAAAGATGTATTATAGTAATTTATTTTAATTGTCCCACTCGACGTGATAAAAAAACCTGAAATATTACCTTTATGAATAGAAGACTTCGACTTGGCATCTGGAACAACGAGGATCTTTTTCACAGAAAGTTGTGTTGGTTGTTGACAATACCGTGTCCCGGGTACATCGGGTGGCTATTAAACAAGAAGAAAATGTGGGAAAC